CATCATAACTGTGTAATTTGTATCACATTAGGCAGACGATTTCCCATATTATGTATTTCCAGTGTGATGCTAACCCACAAACCCTGTTTGTCTCTACCGGATTCTTTCCTCCTTCCTTTTTTAGCTTTTTCCTCCAGAGGCAGAAAATATGTATTCATAAAATTGAAATGAACTCTTTTATATAATGAATTTAAACAGAAGGTATCATCCCTATAAATTTCACCTTTACTACAAGAAACTAAAAAGTCCCCAAATCTTTAAGCCCTTAATACATGCTATAAGTGGAAAAAAATTAATGGACTGTACTATATTCTAACTTACCCATACAGTTAATAAAATTTATGACTACTTTATGCAATCACTTATTAAATCAAATTAATTAGCTTACATCTCAAATATCTAATGTAATTATCCAAGTAATTTAAAGTGGGGGAAATCTCATCAGTTGTCCATTTAAAAACAGCAAGCAAGTAATCTTGGTTGATGTGTAGCTAGTTACAATATCAATAGGTATTCCCCTTCTTCTTGTTTTCTTGAAGAAAAGTTATTAAAACTGAAACACTTTCCCTTGCTTTTATAGGTAAAGAGGTGAAATCCAAATGACAAAGGTCAGAGGTCAGAAGCAGTCACATTATTCTTGCTGTCAAAGACTGACTTTTGGAGGCAGGGCACAGGAGAGAAGCAAATCACATTTTAAAAGTCTGTACTCAAACTGGGGCATATTATGTCCTTGCTATATTGGCCTGCTATAGTTACAACACAATATGGTCAGCTATTATCCAAAACACACGATAGAGTGTTACAGCAAAAACAGACTGCTGACATGAGCATTTAATTTACTCTTGACTCCCAATACACCAAACAACTATTCCCTCCATTAAATGTTGTGATAACAAAACTGTAATTCCAAATTAAACTCAACATTTAGTGCATGTACTAATATTATGTCAGTGATATTTTGGGGCATGATTTTGTTAACTAAGCAAATCACTCAAGAGTCTCATAAAACAGAATCAGATCTAAGACAAATTGAGATTTCATGAATAAATGCTTTTTAGAAATGAGAATACAACACATACAGTCACAGTGCTTTACAATTAGCTGCACCATCACTGTGGCCCAGCAGAAAACTCCTTTAAAGCAACTGCATGTCTGATAGTAAAGAGTGGAGATTTACAGGAGTTCAGGTTAATTTTAAATGGTCTAATGATATATCTTCCGTTTAAATGATTTTTGAATGGGATCTAAATGAGTGTGGCACTACCAATCAGAGAGGTTGTAAAAAGCTTCTGCATTAGATGGGAGGTAAAGTAAGACACCCAAGAAGTCATTTCCAATCCCACAAATGAATGGTCCAGACTGTACATGAACTGTATTGATCAAATACAGCCCTAGGACAGTATTTTTCTGTTTCACATGCCTGAGAGCATCTTACACTGATGTATGCCAGGCAGCAGTCCTGCACAGTTGTCAGAACTTGAGTATAAGCATCACAATTTGCAAAAACTGGTGTCAGCAGCCTGGAAAAATCCCAGGAACAGCAGTGGAGCAATCATTTCAGGAACGCTGTCGCCAAGGCTTTGATGGCACGGAATATGATGTGAGGAAAAACAAGGACAGCAAGACCCTGAGTCAAGATGTGATTCAGAAGAATAGACCCAATGTGAGCCGGTTTTTAAGAAGATCTTAACCCTGGGGTTCTCACTACCAGCACGTTGACATTTTGAGCCCGACAATTCTTTGTTCTGGGCAGGGACAGAGGTGAGAGCTGTCCTGTACACCGGGATGGTTAGTAGCATTGCTGGCCTCTACCCACTAGATACCAATAACACCTGGCAGGTTGTGACAGCCAAAATGTCTCCAGACACTATCAGATATCTCCTGGCTACCAAAATCTCCCCCAATGCCTTAACCTATTTATTTTGCTTACATTTTTCTCTTTTTGAATATGCAAGTGATGCTCCTGCCCCTCCCCCCCTGGGGATGTCCCCCCACCCCAGGTACACGCCCCTGGCCGGAATCGAACCCGGGACCCCTCAGTCCGCAGGCCAACGCTCTATCCACTGAGCCAACGGTTTCGGCCTGAGTAAGTACTTCTTAGTAGTAACTTAGTAGTAACCAGTTCTTCCCTAGCTGGAGTTCTCTAGTCTTCCTTTTGATTCTTTTGAGCATTCCAAAATGCTTCTAAAAATCCCCTTGCTTCCTAAGTTAGCCAGAGTTAAGTTTCAATCTTTCAACCAAAAAATCCTGACCGAAACAAGGTTCTTATTTAAGCTACCCTAATAAAAGACATTTCAGAGTATTTCCCTGCCACAAAGTTCACTTGTTAAAACTGTTACTGCTTCTCCTTACCACTCACCACATAGGCAGAGTGAGTAGGGGCATGACACAAGGATGACACAAGGATTGCTGAAACAGTGGCACAAGGAACCCTCTAAAACTGCTTACAAGGCTTCATTCAATTAAAGCAACAGATAAAATCTATAATAATAAAAGTGTAATATGCTAATTAGACCAGACTGCTGAACAACCTTCTGGACGTCATTCCAGACATCCTTCTGGATGAACCCGTGATGGTGGGGGCCAAGGCAGAAGCAGTTAGGGGTGATCAGGCAGGCAGGTGAGCAGTTAGGGACGATCAGGCAGGCAGGCGAGTGGTTAGGGGCGATCAGGGAGGTAGACAGAGGGGCTAGGAGTGATCAGGCAGGCAGGCAGGAGAGCATTTAGGAGCCAGCAGTCCCAGATCCCGAGAGGGATGTCCGACTGCCGGATTAGTTGAACATCCCCTGAGTGGTCCCAGATTGCAAGAAGGTTCAGGCCAGGCTGAAGGACAACCCCCCCCCTCCTTTGCACAAATTTTGTGCACCAGGCGTCTAATAATGTATAAATGCCCTGACACCAAAAGTTGCTTTGCAAAGACTGCACACAAAACTTTCTTAATGCTTTTTCTAAAGTTTCTTCTCTGGTACAAAAACAAAACAAACAAAAAAACAGCTATTGATTCTTTTAAAAACTATCACATAGATGAACCCACACTTTGTGCCAAGATTTGACAGCTGGAAGTTTTCATGAAGAAGGCTTCAAATAAAACATTTTTTAAAAGAAAAAAAAAATAATAAAAAGGCTATACCACCCTCTGTTCTCCTAAAAGGTGACAGAAAATAAATTCTTTATCAATAGTCATTTGTCCAGGTTACAGCTAGGCTGCCAACCCCAGTCCACTTGCGATTTGAAATTGGCTCTCCCTGGCACCTTTTATTCATCTCATCTGCCCTTTACCTCTCACAGACCAAGGCAAAGCAAATGGAAGCTGAGTAAAAAAGGAAGAATAAAGAAAGAAAACACCAGAGTGACAGTTATTGTAAGAAGCCTGTACCATAAGGAGAGAAGGGAAGTCAAAAAATTTCTTTGTGAAATATAATAAGCAAAGTAAACATGATTTTAACCCCAAAAAACTCCTTATTAAAATAAAATTCAATTAAAAATAAAATTTCAAAGATAAGAAATTCTACCATAATATATTGATTTTCTTTGCTTCTTAATGAAAATGGTCTGAATTTTTTGGAATATTCAAACTTCACCATCTAATTACATACTCCATCAGCCTAACCCAATTAAATAATTATAAAGTGCTATGTGGAAAACTACAGAAATATACACAGACTCTTTTCACCAGTACTAATTACATCTTGATTTTTTAAACCCTAAACTATGAGCCTTCTCTATTTCCTGAGAAAATGGCAGTCTTAATCTAAAACTTATGTTCTGTTTTATACGTCTCAAAAGCAAATTGGAGGTAGCTTAGCACTTACATCAATAAAGAAATTTTAGAGGTGAAATATTTAAGGCTCAAAGAGGTTAGATTATATGTTGAAGGACCTATGGCCATTGAAGACGAGAATCCAACTCAAAGATTCTTTACATTTAGCTCTCCCAAGCAGAACAGTTACACAACCAAAACAAAAACAAGCACACGCTAAGCATCCACTGGTGGCCGGCATGTGCTCAGTGCTCACAGCAGAAAGGCATCTGCATGATCATATAACAGTGATGCTCTGTGCTGTATGCAAATTTCAGAAGTAGCACAGATGGAAAGCACTTGACTCTATCTTAGATTAAAAAGTATTGGCACATTTTTATGAATAACTGTGTACTTAAAGGTCTTTAAAAAGTTGTCCTTTTACTCCAAAAAATTACCTATGCTGTTTTGAATATTGTATGGTTTTTAGTTTATAGCTTTGAACATCTTTTTGAATCAGCACATAAGGATCTACTTGACTATCTAAGTACTGTATTGAGGCATGTGCCATAACTCAGTCATCCAGTCCCCTATGATGGCCATAGGAATTACCTCTGGTTTTCTACTATTAAAACTGTTAGTGGTAGTAGTAGTTTTAATAATGATAAAAATAATGTAGTAGTATATATATAGAAAAAAATCTAGAGGAATAAAATGTTCAAGATTGGTTTTCTCCATAGAATGGAATTATAGAAGATTTTGATTTTTCAACCTGACATCTTTCTAATATATCTTCAGTTTTTTTAAGTGGGTATATTCATAATTAGTGCTATTTATTAATATGGGCACTATGGATACTACATGGCATTCATTAATAGCTACAATATTGCTAACCTTCATAACCACAGTAGACAATATAATTTTCAATCCTAACTACATTCATTGAAAGAAACTAGCTTGTGAAATTCCTGGAGAATCCTCAAGAACTACTTCTCACATTATTGAGAAAACAGGGCTTAGTCAGTATTCATGCAATAAAGAACCACACAAAAGATATAATGGACACTTACAACCAAGTTTGGGGAGAGGGCAACCTAGGGCTAACAAGCACAATCCAAAACCGAAAATGGCCAAGTTCATACGCTCAGCACATTCTGAAGTTCAGCCAGACACAAATAATGAGTCTTACTACAATTATTCCTCTCTTAAAATACTTATTATAACAAGTCGACCAAAATCTCCTGCCTGCCAGGAAACTCACCGTTTCTGGTTTTCAGACTCTTTCTTGGCTTGCTCCAGAGCCAGCTCCTCGGCTACTCTTCTCTTCAGTTCTTCATCAGAAACTGGGATCAGTAAAGAGCAAAAGGAGATGAAATTAGTGATTTTTGAAAAACAAAACCAAGAAAATACTCACAAAAACAAAGCTGAGACTGGAGCTAAAGGGCAAAGTTCTGCCAGCTGGCCAGTGGCTCCTTGGGACCATCTAAGCACTATGGAAAAGACCAATTAGTGCATTTCAGCAGTGACTTAATCAAGAGTTCCCTGGTGACCTAGAAATTTCCCACGCCTGCCAAAATTTAGAATAAACTCAAGGAGCTCCTTACTGCCCATGGGGACTGAGCTGTTAAGTACAAATTCTTTAAAAGGATGTCCTATCACTAAAGTCTGACAATGGCATATAAAGGGAAGAGACGATGTAAGGAAGGGACTTTACAGAGGAAAATTACACCAAAGCTTTCTCACTTTGATAATTAAACATTTTTTAAAAATCATTTATTACAGAGAGAAAATTATTTGTGTTTATATTCATTCTTCCATAAATTATGAAAAAAAGGCATTTGTGGACATTTTGAAACCTATTTTTGGGAATACATATCATTCAAATTCAAGTGCCAGCAACTGGAGCGAGACTTCAGAACAGTGCTGAGAACTTGGCTGGAGCTTCTTACAGACCTGGTGACTTGATGTGAAACATCTGGTCTTTACAATCAGAAAATTTTGTACTATGTGTTTTGTAAAGATTCTTACAGCTATGATAGCAAACAAAATAGATAAATTTTACGGACTCCTTCAGAGCCTTCCACAAATAAAAATAAGCAGAAACTAACTATTTCCCCTTCACTAAAACCCAATACCCAAAATTATGACCAAGAAAGCACCAGAAACACTTAGGAGGATCTAGGAAGACACACTGGACTTATTATTTCAAACGGGAGCCTGTTAGATGGAAACCTAAACAGCACCGTGTGCTCTGCAACAACACTCTACGTGATGATCTGAACGTTATAAGCACCTTGCCTCAGGGCACAGACAAAAAGTGAATTACAACAGGATATGCACAAGCCTCTTTAAATTGTGTTGACATTGGGCAATAACAAAGAAGATATATGAGAGGTCATAAGGATGTTTTCTCTTACTGTTGGACTATCAGAAAACAACAGCATCAAAGGACATCAAGAAGGTGAAGACAACCCACAGATAGGAGGAAATATTGGCAAATCACATAACTGACTAACTTGTATCCAGAAAATACAAAGAACTTTTATAACAGAACAATAAGAAGACAAGTTTAAATGGGCATAGATATGAATATGCATTTTCCTAAAGAAGTATTACAAACCACAATAAGCACATGAACAATTGCTCAACAGCATTTGTCATTTGGGAAATGCAATTAAAAACCACAGTGATACACCAATTTGAACCCACTATAATCAATAAGACGATAACAAGTGTTAGTGAAAATGTGGAGAAACTGGAAGCTTCATACATTGCTGGTGAAATATAACATGATGCACCCACTGTAGAAAAGAGACAGTCAGGGCCTCAAAATGCTAAACAAAGTGACCACAGGACCTAGCAATTTCACTCTTAGGTATTCTATATACACAAGAAACTTGAAAATATATGTCTATACAAAAAGTTGTACATGAATATTATGGTAGCATTATTCATGGCATCCCAAAAGTGAAGACAGCCTAAATGCCCATCAACTGATGAATGGATAAACAATTGGTGGTATATCCATTCAGTGTGATGTTATTCAGCCATGGAAGTCATGAAGTACTGATAGATGCTACCACATGGATGAACCTTGAAACATCATGCTTAGTGAAAGAATGTCACAAAAGGTTGCACAACTTGCATGCTTCCACTGATAAGAAATATCTAGAAAAGGCAAGTCTATAGACTCAGAAAGGAGACTAGACTGGTTGCCAGGAGTGGAAGGAAGGTGAGAATGGAGAGTGACAGCTAATGGGGGGAAAGGATTTCTTTTTTGGGGTGTTAGAAATGTTCTAAAATTAGATAGTGAGCGAGAGCCATCTCACAGCTCTGCAAATATACTGAAAACCACTAAAATGTACACTTTTATTGGTAAACTAACTGGGCAGCAGTTTTCTCAAATAGATGTTCTCAAATGGATGTTCTCGAGAGTCCCTTCAAACCATGCATTTCATGCTGCTGTTGGGCTTCGATCCTACTTCAAAGTCTGTAGAGAAGAGATGCACATCGCTGCTTTGAAAAGGTCACACAAAATCAAGAAAAAAAAAACTAGAACAGGGAACTGTTTGCATTCAGGCAAATCTTATAACTTTTTCAATATTAAAAGTTTTAGAAAACAATACAAATAAAAGTGAAATTGGTAACAGCTCAGCAAAGAGTCTGAATACTCTTTGTTTCTCTATCAACTGAACTTTGGATAAATCAGATAACCTACCTGAGTTTTGATTTCCTCACCCAAAAGCAAGACCAGGTGAGTTACATGGGTGTCTGCCATCTCAGAAGTTCTAGATTATACAGCCCACAAGGTAATGATTTTCACATTTTCATCGATTTCCCAAAAACAAGCAAAAATCATGACTCTTCATTTGTTGGAGGTGTTCAGAACTACTAACTGTTAGCAAAAATTGAAACAAATACTTAATCAATTAGTATTATCTGATAAAACTATTCTCTGAAGTTCTACATACCAATCAGGATCAACACACAGCCAAACTGTACCTGTAAAATCATGCCACTTCCCCTAGATTGTTGCAAACTGCCACAGCAAAAATTTTCTCAGGCAAAATTCAAATTCTCAATCACAATGCAACTGAATTCCATTCAGCCCTTTAAAGCCTGGGCTTCGAAAGACGTCAGTGTACCAGGTCTAAATATGAAGCAATGAGATCAGTTTTCTAAGTGAGCTGCTAATACAGTCTCGTATCTTCACAATACATGTTGTGCCTCTTACAAAGGGGCTTCTTACCAGGGGAAAAGCTGAAATCAGCAGTGAATTTTTTTTTGTTAATCCTCACCCAAGGATATTTTTTCCATTGATTTTTAGAGAGTAAAAGGGAGAAGGAGAAACAGAGAAAGACACATGGGTTGGTTGCCTACCACACACACAACTGAGTTGCATGCCCTTGACTGGAATAGAACCCACGACTCTTTAGTCTGTGGGCCGATGCTCTAACCACTGAGCACCAGCTAGGGCAGAAGTGAGCTTTTTATTATGATGTGATCAATCTGGAATGGAACAATAAGGACTCCACTACCCAAGGGGGACCAGCTGGCTGGATGGAAAGGAAGCCATGCAGGAGAGACTGCAGAGAAGCAAATGTAGCTTCAAAGGTGTTTCTTTCTCTATACCCTCCTGCCTATCAATCACAGTCAGCCCTGCCACCTGCTGTGGGGTGAGGTGAGAAACAGATGGAGACAACTGTGGTATCATCTAGGTAGGCCAGGTGGGGAGAAACTGGGACGGGGATGGCGGCAGAGGAAAACCAGCAGCAATGCAAGGGGGTTGCGAGGGTAGGAGGACACTTCCAGGTCCACTGAAGAAGGTATACCAAAGGGAGAAACGAAAAATCACTCTCTCTCTCTCTCTCTCTCTCTCTCTCTCTCACACACACACACACACACACACACACACACACCTTTTGGGTCTCACTTCCAAGGTCACAGCTGAAAAAGTAATTTCTTTAGCTACAATTGAGAATTTAAAATAACAAAAGATAAAACACAATCGAGCAGAGTGAGTTTAAAATCTAAAATAGCAAGTCAAAGCCCAGGCAGGAAAATAAACCAGTCTAGTAATGGGTTTCTAGCAAATCTAAGTTTCATGTTATTTGTTTTTAAATCAATAGAATACAGAAAGCAACAACATATTTCTTCTGGTAGGTCTGACCCCAAGTGCGCAAGGGAAAAGATATACCTTCGGGAGACCGCTTTTTTAAACGGCCCTGTTCAAAATACTCTTTCCAGCTCTCAGGATATGAACATTTTCTCAAAACTGTTATTAAACTAAAAGGTCAGTGTTTCTGGATGGGCTACTTTAAGAGAAGCACAGGAAAGGCCAACTTTGCTGATTAGCACAGTGTGTCTCCAAGCAGATCTTTAGGGACTGGCAAAGTCTGTGAAATGAGAAAAAGTAAAAATGAGAAATGTCCAAGCCATAGAAATCAGATTTGCCATGGAAATCGGCACAACCACTGCAAGCGCAGGAAGTATGGCTATAGCTTTTTTTTTTCTCTTTCCTTTCAAAGTGTATGAAGACAAAGGATGTTTTCTTCTCGTACATATACTTTTAAAAATCTCGGAACCCAATTTAAGTTCTGCCTCAATGGCAAATGTATCTTAGTGAATGCAAACACTGGCATTTTGTCAATTAGATATAGTAGGTCGACACTGACCATAAGACATATGAGGAAAAAGTCAAGCATTACTATTGCTTGGTTACAGCAAGTCTGTCCTAAACTCTCTATTTGAAACTATTACTGAAAATTATAAATATCTGTGTGGTTGAAAGCAGCTCATGATTTCCTAACAAAATTATGTTTGTTTGTTTAGTAAACAACATTTCTAAATGAATGTTTTGGTTAGTCCAAAATTTCTACTTTACTGAATGCCTAGCAATAATTTACCCCTCTTAGCCACATTCCAAATTTCTAAGAATTTAAATTCTCAAGACATTCTAAGAATCTATATTTCTAATTTGGGTTTAGGATCAATGAGAAACTCCTAACCTTATACTTAATTATGAGTATTCTTAGCAACTGTGAATACCACATCTTAATCCTCAGAGAAAGTGTAGCATAAATTCATTACACCTCATCTGTCTTCTAGGTTATATGATTTATGTCCAAATTTTCCATTTTCAGAAACTGGTTAAACTGGTAGAGAGGAAATGGGGGGGATGGGGAGACACTATAATATATTTAAGACAGTTCTTTGGTAAACAGAAATGACTCCAAAAAATAGAATAACTTTATGAAATGTCTCATCATCTAAAATAAAACAAAAGACTGAAAATGCAATCATGATTTGAGACTTTCATTCCCTGGAACTCAAGGGACATACCAATTTCCTTGGTAACTTTTTCCACTTATATGATTTTCCCTTTCCTTCATTTTCTTTGCCTAATCCTCACTCTATAATTCCCTCCTTAATTACAATATTCTTAAAGAATCTCTGTAAGTTACTTAATAAAAATTATGCCTTGCCTACTAGAAAAATGTCAGGTCCTTTGGGATTTTTTTCCTTTACTCCATTTCTCTTTCTGGCTTTACCATTTGCTGATACATACCATGTCCAATTTTATAAAGCCTGTATTTTCAAAGGCTAGTTTTAAAACACTGAGGAGAGATATGAAGATCTACTCTAAAAAGAAAATAAATGTATATAGTTGCATAACACAAGCAGCAGATTTTACATAAAGACTGATTCTGCCAGGATTGAGGTAGTTGAGCCAAACTTATGCCTTTTGATAGAGCCAAATTAAATGTTCAGCTTCATAGAAATATCCCTTAATGTTATAATTTCAACCAATTCCTTCATACAAAAAGAGCTCTGGTTGTTTAAAAAATAATAATGGAAGCACCCATGAAATCTAACACACAGTATATTAGACATAAATAACTCACAGCCTAGGTTGCAGGATAAATCTTGTCCTGCTCCTTTCCTTATTAAGGTACAGGGTTTGAATAGGAGAAGAGTCGAAAGATGACTGGGATAAATCTCAGGGGTTAGAAAGAAACATGTAATAATTTGACAATATTCATTTCTGACACCATCTAGTTGGCAGACAATACAGAGTATGATGTTCAACTGACAATTACATTCACCTAAGGATAATGTATCTTAAGACTGCCTTCAAAAAAAAAAAAAAAAAAAGCCATCTGTCTAGATCCCTGGCAGGGTAACTGAGGCTACTTATACATTAAAGTGAATAATGATGTTAGAATGAAAGGCCTTAACTGAACATTCATAATCATAAATATTGAATTGGAATGCACAGTGTTACAAAGAGATTGGCAATCTAACCATTCAGAGCATCCAGTTAATGGTTTATTTTGTAGTACTATTGTGCCAGTAGGATTTATCTACCTTTGTAAATTTCTAATAATATGCAAATAGTGTCATTGTATTGCTTACTTCACAACAAGCACTCACAGAAACCATATCCACGATCCATTCTATGCGAAAACAAACATCAATACCAGGCTGCAGAGGCTGTACAGCACAGACAAGCTCATCATTCATGTGCCACAGTCCCCACATTTGTAAGTAGACAATTCTTTAAACCAGTATTGGGAATCAGATACATTTAGTATTTCATGTCTTAATATCCTGAATAACAGTTGCGAGCCCTCCCAAAGCCTCTGGGAAAATAAGATCTATAATTTAAATTAAAAAATAATAATTACCTCTGGATATTGCTTTTTGATGCATAGCTTAATTTTTTTGTTTGTTTCACAAATGGATGTATTTTGTTCACCGGGGAGAAAGTTATAAATTAAACAGCATTAAATCTCCAACCCCAAATGAAGTACCCAAACCACCCAAACCTGTTTCCTCTCATTCCAGTGGTCCTGACTGGAGCTGTCCTCAAGGTTTCTGCAGAAAGACTAGTGAAATACAAAGAGGAGCAAGATGGTGATAAAGGGGGTTCCTATCCAGTCCTGGCTCTGCCACCTTAGGTGTTGTGATTTTACTCAAAAACACATCATTCCTTTAGGCCAGTGGTCGACAAACTCATTAGTCAACAGAGCCAAATATCAACAGTACAACGATTGAAATTTCTTTTGAGAGCCAAATTTTTTAAACTTAAACTATATAGGTAGGTGCACTGTTATTAACTTAATTGGGTACTCCTAAGGCTTAGGAAGAGCCACACTCAAGGGGCCAAAGAGCCGCATGTGGCTCACGAGCCGCAGTTTGCCGACCATGGCTTTAGGCCAAGGCTATCATCTATAATATTAGGGCCCAAACTGGAAAATCTCCAGCAGCCCTCCCCTGGACAGTCATGTTAAATGGGAGACTGACATAAGAATTCATGCTGGAGCCTCCACTTACCCTAAAATCCTGTTAGAATGAAGGTAAAAGAATAAAAAAGTGTATCGTTGGCGACATATTCTGTCCGTTGTTTGCCTTGAAGTGACTGACACTTTGTTCATTTGGAGAAACTGTCTATCTGATACTCACCTAGCAAACTACCAAAAACAGCCTCTAGGCTTTCCAGACAAACCGAAAACTAAGGGGAGGCAGGGCAGAGTGGGGAAGAGAGCCATATTGTACAGGCTTTGCAAAGCACACAGGAGGTCCATGAAATCATGATAACTCATTGATTCGTGGAGTCAAAAGTCAGGCATTAGGTAATAAGTCACCAACTTTTGGAGTACCTGAAGGAAGATTTAGAAGAAATACAGCATACACACTGTAAAAGTCATGCAATCAAAGTATAGTGTGACTGCTACTCAATAAAACCCTGCCAGACAAGCCCCTTCCCAAACCTCTCCACGCCACTGCCACCCCAGGTTTCTGCCCCTGGACCCTTTACAAAACACCTGGAGCCACCAGGCACCAGGCCCCTCAGCATAATATTCATAAAGGAAAGAATGGGTAACACCTGGAGCCACCTTGACTGACAGCATACTGTTACAGAAGAATGGGCCTTCATTATAAGCTTATTTGCTGGCTGTACGGTTCCAGTTTTAATGTTTAAGCTCAATTTTCTATTCCCTGGTCAACCATCTGAAGTTCCTTTTGTGGTATTTTTTGTTTGTTTGTTTTTTTCTCAAAAATCAAGCAACCTCTGGGAATATACAAACTAGGGAAATCAATAAGTTCGCTAGGTAGCAAATGCACATTGAGTCAATCCTATGCTAGGCTTTATACGATATTAGACATATGGTCCCTACCACTAAGGAGACTAAAGTCTAAGTTAGCGAAACTGTACTACTGAGGTTTAGCATTAAGGACACTTACCAAGGTCAGCTGCAGCCATGGAG